TTCGTGACCTCCCGTCTGTTTGCTCTGATTCCCTGTGCCGGCGCCGGCTCGCGTGCGGGCTTACCGATCCCGAAGCAGTATCGGACGATCGTCGGACGCAACCTGCTGTACTACACGCTCGCGGCGTTCGACGCGTGCTCCGAGTTCACGCAGACACTGCTCGTGCTCGCGCCCGATGACGGCTATTTCGATCCGCGACGCTTCGGGGCGCTGCGTTATGCGGTCAAGCGCTGCGGCGGCGCGACGCGGCACGCGTCTGTGCACAACGGGCTGGTCGCACTCGCCGAGTTGGGTGCCCGTGATGACGACTGGGTGCTAGTGCACGACGCGGCCCGCCCCGGCGTCACGCCAGAGCTGATACGCGCGCTGGTGGCGGCGGTGCGCGACGATCCAGTCGGTGGCATCGTCGCGCTGCCAGTGGCCGACACGCTCAAGCGGGTTAGCCCGGCGCAGAGCCCGGCCAGCGGCGACGGCCGTGCGCCACCGCGCATCGGCGCGACCGAGCCGCGCGAGCACCTGTGGCAAGCGCAAACCCCGCAGATGTTTCGCATCGGCATGCTGCGCGACGCGCTCGCGCAGGCCGACGCCCTGGGCCACGCGGTAACCGACGAGGCCTCCGCGCTCGAGTGGCTGGGCTACGCACCGCAGATCGTGCAGGGCAGCTTGCGCAACTTCAAGGTGACGTATCCAGAGGATTTCGCGCTCGCCGAGGCGTTCCTCGCGCATGGCGCGGCGCGCTGAGCCGCGCGCGTGCGTGTGCCGCGGTGCGCGGTTAAACTCAATCCAGCAGGAGAACAACGAATGAATTTGCGAATCGGCCAGGGCTACGACGTGCATGAGCTCGTTCCAGGGCGGCCGTTGGTGCTCGGCGGCGTGACAGTGCCCTACGAGCGGGGTCTGCTTGGCCATTCGGACGCCGATGCGCTGCTGCACGCAATCACCGATGCGTTGCTTGGCGCGGCGACACTCGGCGACATCGGGCGTCACTTCCCGGATACTGACCCGCATTTTGCCGGCGCCGACAGCCGCGTGCTGCTGCGCGAAGCCGCGCGGCGCGTAGCGGCCGCCGGCTACCGCATCGTCAACGTCGACAGTACGGTGATCGCGCAGCAGCCCAAGCTCGGCAAGCATATCCCGGCAATGTGCGGGAACATCGCAGCTGACCTCGGGTTGCATGACAATGCTGTCAACGTCAAGGCCAAAACCAATGAAAAGCTCGGCTATCTTGGCCGCGGTGAGGCGATCGAAGCGCAAGCGGTCGTGCTGCTCGCCGGTGACTGACGTGCTCGGGCAAGCGGTGGTGGGCGTTGCGACCTGCGTCAGTCCGGTTCCGCACGGCCGCTGCGACTGAGCGGAAAATCGATCGTGACCTCGAGCCCTGGGCCGGGCACGCGGTTGCGCAGCCGCAGCGTGCCGCGGTAGCGGCTCACGAGCCGCTGCACGATCGCCATGCCCAGGCCCGTGCCGTCCGCTTGGCTGCGCGCGGTATCGACGCGGTAAAACGGGCGCGTTACTAGGCTCAACTGGCCGTCAGGGATGCCCGGGCCCTCATCGAGGACCGATAGCTCGACGCGGGCCTGTACCAACTGCGTCTGGACGGTGATGTGCGGGATACCATCGTGCGCGTTGCGCCCGTATTTGCGCGCATTCTCGATCAGGTTGCCAATCACGCGGCGCAGGTCGGTTGCGTCCGCATCGACCAGCGCGCCTTGCGACAGCCGAGTGGTGATTCGCACACCGTCTTCGGATGCCATGCGAACGAGCGCCTCGCTGGCAACCACGGACAGGTCGACAAGCTCCGGGGCGCGCTGTACCGGCCGAGCGTAGTCTAGGAAACGGCCGATGATCCTATCCATCTGCTCGATGTCGTCGATCATCGCCGCCTTCGTCACGTCGTCTGACGGACTCATTTCGGTTTCGAGCCGCAGTCGTGCCAATGGCGTGCGCAAGTCGTGCGAAATGCCAGCCAGCATCAACGCGCGGTCGGCTTCGAGCTGCTGCAAATCGCGCACCATCTGGTTGAAGCTGCGGTTCGTTTCCGCTGCGACACCAAGCCCGCGCTCGGGCAGCAGCTCCGGTGTCTGCCCGTGGCCGACCCGGCGCGCAGCCATGGCCAGCCGCGAGAACGGTCGGTTCACCAGGCTCGTGATGAATGCCGCGCCGAACAGCGACAGTGCCAACGCGAACGTGCCCCAGCCGAACCATTGCAGGCCGGTGACGTTATCGAGTCGCTCTCGATCGAGTGCGACCCAGTAATCGTCGTCATCGATCTTGAAGCTGATCCAGACACCGGGTATGTCGTTGACCGACTGGGCAATGACGGTGTCCTCGCCCAGCCGAGCGCGGATGTTCTTCTCGATCAGCCGCGTCAGCAATTCGTCTGGCTGCAGCGTGTACGTGTCGGTGCTCTCGCGCGGGTAGACCCGCACGCCTTCGTTGCTCTCCAGATCCTGCAGCAGCGCGCGACGCAGATCCGGATCCGAATACAGCAGCGCGGTCCGCGTGAGCTTGACGATCGCCACCAGCTGCATTGCGACGCGCTCGGCACGCGGCTCGCGCTCGATCACCCGGAAGCTCTGGAACCATGCGGCCAGGCTCACCGCGATCAACAGCGCAATGAGCAGGAAGGTGCGCCAGAACAGACCGCCGAACGCAAGCGTCAGTAACCGGCGGTCGAGGCGCATCGCATGTGAGCGTTAGTGAGACAATCCGTCAAGGCAGGGCGCGCGGCACGCGCTCATGCAGCGCCATCGGGGATAAAGACATAGCCCAGGCCCCAAACGGTCTGGATGAAGCGCGGGCTGCCGGGATCGGGCTCGATCAGCTTGCGCAGCCGCGAGATCTGCACATCGAGGCTGCGGTCGAATACTTCGTATTCGCGTCCGCGCGCAAGCTCCATCAGCTTTTCGCGCGACAGCGGCTGGCGCGGCTGGCGCGCAAACACCTTCAGCACCGAGAACTCGCCGGTGGTCAGCGGGATCTCCCGGCCGTTCTTGGTCAACATGCGAGTTGCCAGGTTCAGTGCAAACCCGCCGAACTCGAACACTTCGCTCGTCTCGGATGGCGCACCGGGCAACTCGGCCGGCGCTTGGCGACGCAATACCGCATGGATGCGCGCAACGAGCTCGCGGGGATTGAACGGTTTCGGGAGATAATCGTCCGCGCCCATTTCAAGACCGACGATGCGATCGACATCCTCCCCCTTTGCCGTGAGCATGATGATCGGCGTGCGATCGTTGCTGCCGCGCAACCGGCGGCAAATCGACAGGCCATCTTCGCCAGGCAGCATCAGATCCAGCACGAGCAGATCGAAGCGCTCGCGGACCCACAGCTTGTTCATCGAAGGAGCGTTTTCGGCAACGTATACGTTAAAACCCTGTTCGCCGAGATAGCGACGCAGCAAGTCGCGCAAACGGGGGTCGTCATCGACCACGAGGATTTTTGATGGGCTTTTGGTTTCCATGGTGGCATCTTAGCGCGTTAGAGCCTGACGCGAGCTGGCGTCAATTATAGGGGTTACATACGGTTACAAAATTTACCTATGCCCGTGCATAGGGTAGCTCGGTCGCGCGTAGACTTCGCTATAAGCAAGGGTCCTATGGTAGCAACGAAGAGCACGATATTGTCGCAAGCAACGAAGGGAACGACATGACGGCGTGGGCGCGATATGTGAGGGCAGGCGCGCTCGGGCTCGCCCTGGGCGGCTCGGTAGCCGGCACGATCGAGCATTCGACCCCGGCTTTTGCGCAAGGCGGCCGCGAACGGCCGCCACCGAAAGGGCTGCATCGCTACACGCCGCACAAGCCGGCTCAGCCGCCGGCCAGCGACGCCGCGAGCTGTTCTGTCGAGCCTGCCGAGTTCGATCAGCGGCGCCGGCGCGATGGGCATATGACGCCCGAGGAGCGACGCCTGCTGCGCCAGCATATCGAAGATGCCGTGCGGGAGCTGTACAAGCGGTAGGGCGGTCAGCGCGAGTGCGCCGCGCGCCATGCGATCCAGAACTTGCGCAGCGGCGTCAGCGCGATACGTTGATGCAGCACGCGATAGTTCTCCGCTTCGAGCTCGCGCAGCAATGCCAGCGACATCGCGGCCTGCGCGCGCAGTGTGCGCTGCGCACGGCGCGCGCAGGCCGGCATCGCATCGAGCGCGCGCGTGATCGCATCGCGCGCGCGCTCGACCTGGAATGACATCAGTTGATTGAAGCCGTCACTGTAGCGCCGGTGGAGAATGTCCGCGGCGGTCACGCCGAATCGCTGCATTTCATCGATCGGGATGTAGATGCGACCGCGTCGCGCATCCTCACCGGTCCGCTCGGCGATTTCGGCCAGCAGCAGCGCCCGCCCGAGCGCCGGTGCCCACAACGAAACATGGTCCGGCTCGTGCGCGGTGACGCTTGCTACGGCGGCGGCAAACTCAGCGCCCACCTGTTCGACATAGCGGCACAGTCCGGGGAAATCGAGGTAGCGCGCCTGGTCCAGGTCCATTTGATAGCCGCACAGCCATGTCATGAACGCGTCGATGCTTACCGCATCGATGCGATGACGCGCAATCGCCTGCGTCACCGGGTGCGTCGGCGTCCCATGTGCGAGGGCGCCCAATTCGGCTTGCCACCAGGCAAGCCTGGTGCGCCCGACTGCCGGGTCGCTGACTCCGCTGATGCTCTCGGCAAGCTCGCGATGCAGTGCATACAGCGCGGTCAGCAACGGCTGCGCGGTCAACGGCGCTTGCCGTAGCGCATAGTACGTACTGGATCCGGCTGGGGCCGCCTTTTGCTGGCAGTAATCGTCGATATTCACGCGAAGCGGACGTGCAAGAGGTCACCCGCAGCTTCTCTTCGTACCGCGGGCAAAGCATGAAAGTTTAGCATTGGCTGCGCGGTCGGGGCAGACAACGCATGACGAATCGGTTAGAATTGCGCGCTTGCATTGCCCGGGCCGGTCTCGATCGGCTTTGGCTAGGCAGAACAAGGCAACCGGGTGGCGCGCAACGTGCCCCTGGATGCGAGGATGGCGAAATTGGTAGACGCACCAGGTTTAGGTCCTGACGCCCGCAAGGGTGTAGGGGTTCGAGTCCCCTTCCTCGCACCACTGATCGCGGTTAGTTCGTCGAACCGGTGACACGCTTTGCGAGTGGTTTAGCCGTTTTCTGAGCCGCCGGTGCCTCCGCGGTCCGGGCCGCAACGATCACCTTGTCGAGCAGCCGCCCGAGTTGCGCCTGCTCGCCATCGCTGAGCGCCGAGAACATGTCATCGTTCCAGCGCCGAGCGATCGGCATGATCTTGCGACACAGCGCGCGCCCGGCGGGGGTCAGCGACACGACGACGATACGCCCGTCATCGCGGCTTGCTTGGCGCCGCAGCAATGCGCATCGCATCAGCGCCTCGGCGGCGCGGCTTGCCTGGCTCTTGTCCAGGTTCGCGTGCCGGGCCAGTTCCATGATCGAAAACGGCCCGAACGCGCCGACGGCCGCAATTACACGCGCCTCAGCCATCGATATGCCGATTTTGCGCTGGTAGATCTCGCTGATGCCGCGTTCGGACAGTTTGTTAAGCAGGTGCACGCGGTAGGTGAGGAATTGGGCCAGGCCGGATTGATCGGCAGAAGTCATGTTGCTCCCAAGGAAAGCGTCAGCGTGGTGCGGTGAATTTGACGCGTGCAAGTTGCTCGGCGGCGTCACTGAGCAACATGCGCACGTTGCGAATCGCCGCGTCCAGCGATATCGGCCCCGGCGCCGGAGAAAAACAGCCAGCAAAGTACTTGCCTAAGCGGGGCAGCGCGTCCGGATCAAGCGCGCCGGATAGTAGTGTTGCGGGCACGCCCGCGCGCGTGGCGCGCCGGCATGCGACGAACGGCGCTTTGCCGTGCAGCGTCTGCGCGTCGGAGCGTCCTTCGCCGGTGATCAGCCAGTCAGCGCCCGCCAGTGCGTCGTCCAGTCCGATCTGGCTGGCGACGAGCTCGGCGCCGGCGCTCCCGCGCGCACCGAGCATCAGCAGCGCATAGCCGAGCCCCCCCCCGGCGCCGGCTCCCGGCAGCGCGTGCGCGGTGCGTCCGAGCGCATCCTCCAGCAGCGCGGCATAGTGGCCGAGCACGCGATCGAGCCGATCGATATCGTCGGGCTGGACGCCTTTTTGCGGGCCGAACACCGCTGTGGCGCCGTGCGGCCCGGTTAATGGATGATTGACATCGGACATTGCGATGAGTTCGACGTCGGCAATGCGCGGATCGAGTGCCGACACGTCCACCGCGGCCAGCTTCCGCAGGCCGTGCGGCGTCGGTTCGAGCCGCGCGCCCGATGCGTCGGCGAACCGCACGCCGAGCGCGGCAAGCAGGCCTGCGCCGCCATCATTGGTGCTGCTGCCGCCCAGCGCAACGAGGATGCGCGATGCGCCGGCGTCGAGCATCGCGCCAATCGCCTCGCCCAGGCCGTAAGTGCAGCGCGCACCGGGTGCGGCGCTCATGCCGACCGGATCGGTGATGCCGACGATCTCGGCGGTCTCGACCACCGCGGTGCCGTCGGCGAGCAACGCCGTGGCGGCTTGCCGTGGCTGGCCGGACGCGCCGCGCACCGGTACGATACGGCGTTCGCCGCCACGCGTAAGCAGCGCGTCGAGGGTACCTTCACCGCCGTCGGCCATCGGGCGCAGGCGTAGCTGCGCATCGGGCAGCGCGCGCGCAATGCCGACACCGATCGCCTGCGCGACCTGTTCGGCACTGAGCGAGCCCTTGAACGAATCCGGTGCCACGACGATCACCGGCGCAGCGTGCCGCATGCGTGGCGCGACGTTGCACGACTGCGCGGTCACGCCCGCGTGGCCGACATCGGCGCAACAGGATGAGGAAGTGGACATGGGAAGAGCCAGTTTCCTGGGATCATGTGATTGGCCGGTCGACCAAGGGTTGAACCGATAGCTTATCAAACGCGCCGCGCGCCCGCCACCCGTGCCAAGCACGTGGCAAAGCGGCAAAACATATGCGGAACCGGGATGAAACCGCGGTTTTTCGATGTCACCGGTCAATAGTTTGCTAAACTGTCCGGCTTTCCAGACTCGACGGGCTGTGCCGCCGCACGCGCTGCCCAGGATCGGGCCGCTGGTTGCCTGGCGCACGGAGAGCCAGGCGCTCGAACACTTTAGGACGGATTGAATTCATGGCTAACGTTGTAGAAAACCTCGGCAAACTCGAACGGCGCGTGACGATTTCGCTGCCGAAGGATGTCGTTCAAAAGGAAATCGACACGCGTATCCGCAAGCTGGCGAAGAATGTCCGCATGCCGGGTTTCCGTCCCGGCAAGGTGCCGCTGAAGATGGTCACGCAGCAGTACGCTGGCCAGGTCGAGGCGGAAGTGCTGAGCGACAAGATCGGCAAGGCGTTCTTCGACATCAGCCGCGCGGAGAACTTGCGCGTGGCCGGACAGCCGAGCTTCGCGGCGAAGCAGGAGCCGGCGCGGGACGATGCGTACGCGTTCGATGCGACGTTCGAAGTCTATCCAGAAGTGAAGCTTAGCGACATCTCGAGCGCCGAGATCGAGCGCAAGACGACGACGATCGGTGATACCGAGATCGACCGCACGCTCGAGGTCTTGCGCAAGCAGCGCGTACACTTTCATGCGCGTGGCGAAGCCGGTGAGCACGGTACCGGCGGTGACGACGTCAGCACACAGAACGGCGATCGCGTGACGGTCGATTTCGTTGGCAAGATCGACGACGAAGCGTTCACCGGCGGCAGTGCGGAAGACTTCGCGTTCGTGCTCGGTGAAGGTCGGATGCTGCCCGAGTTCGAGCAGGCGGCGCTTGGGCTGAAGGCCGGCGAATCGCGCGAGTTCGACCTGAAGTTCCCGGACGACTACGCTGGCAGCGAAGTTGCCGGCAAGACGGCGCGCTTCACGATCACCGCGAAGAAAGTCGAGTGGCCGCATCAGCCCGAAATCGACGCGGAGTTTGCGAAGTCTCTCGGCATCGCCGACGGCGATCTGGCGAAGATGCGTGCGGAGATCAAGGACAATCTCGAGCGCGAAGCGAAGCGCCGCACGCAGGCGATCCTGAAGAACCAGGTGATGGACGCGCTGCTGAAGCTCGCCGAGCTCAACGCGCCAAACGCGCTGATCGAGCAGGATCAGCAGCGGCTGGTCGAGATGGCGCGTCAGGATCTCGCGCAGCGCGGCGTGCCGAATGCGGCCAATGCGCCGATCCCGGCCGAGATGTTCAAGGACCAGGCTGAACGCCGCGTGAAGCTGGGGCTGATCCTGGCCGAGCTCGTCAAGGAGCACAAGCTCGACGCAAAGCCGGAACAGATCCGAACCGAAGTGGACGAATTTGCGAAGAGCTACGAAGACCCGAAGGAGGTCGTGCGCTGGTATTATTCGGATCAGCAGCGTCTTGCCGAAATGGAAGCGTACGTGGTCGAGAGCAACGTGGTCGGCTTCGTGCTGGGCAAGGCGAAGGTGACCGATAAGGAAGTTGGCTTTGAGGAGCTGGCGAACGCCTCGCAAGCAGCTCAGGCGTAAAGTTGGCGCAGCAGGGCGGCGGGCGAAACGGTCAAGTGACGGTTTCGAACGCCGCTTATCATTTGTGCGCGGTTTTGGCATTCCGGTTATCGTTGCACCATCGAAGCATCGAACAACTCCACAGAAGGACAGATCGCATGACGTTCCGCGCAGATTTGCTGAATCAACTCGCCACGCACGCGCCTCGAGATTTCGACGCGCAGGCCCTGGGCCTCGTGCCGATGGTCGTCGAGACGAGCGGCCGGGGTGAGCGTGCCTATGACATCTACTCGCGCCTGCTCAAGGAGCGGCTGGTCTTTCTGGTAGGCGAAGTGAACGACCAGACGGCGAATCTCGTCGTCGCGCAATTGTTGTTTCTCGAGAGCGAAAACCCGGACAAGGATATCAGCCTATACATCAATAGCCCGGGCGGCTCAGTGTCGGCCGGCATGGCGATCTACGATACGATCCAGTTCATCAAGCCGGACGTGACCACGCTGTGCATGGGGCTCGCAGCCAGCATGGGCGCGTTCCTGCTTGCTGCAGGTGCGAAAGGCAAGCGCATCGCGCTGCCAAATGCGCGCGTGATGATTCACCAGCCGCTTGGCGGCGCGCGCGGTCAGGCGTCGGATATTGAGATTCAGGCGCGCGAAATCCTGTTCCTGAAGGAACGCCTGAACAACTTGCTCGCGCATCACACCGGGCAGCCAATCGAGCGGATTCAGCGGGATACCGATCGAGACAATTTCATGTCGGCCGAAGATGCCCAGGCATACGGCTTGATCGACCAGGTGCTGCACCAGCGTCCGTGATGCGCGGCGCCAGCTAAAGGGACCCGCTGTTGTGCCGGGCGGGATTTCACCGACAAGTGCCGCCGCAAAACCGCCGACCATGGACTGATGACCGGCTCCGCACTGCCGGGGGTCAATCGGCGTATCATGTGAAGGAAGTGTCCGGAGGTTTATCTATTTATGGCGGACAAGAAAGGTTCGAATAGCGAGAAGCTGCTGTACTGCTCGTTTTGTGGAAAGAGTCAGCACGAGGTCAAGAAACTGATCGCGGGACCGTCGGTGTTCATTTGCGATGAGTGTATCGACCTGTGCAATGAAATCATCCGCGACGAGGCAGCCGGCGCGTCCGGCGACGCGGGTGCCGTCCGGTCTGACTTGCCCAGCCCGCTGGAAATACGTGAGATTCTCGATCAGTACGTGATTGGGCAGGAGCGCGCGAAGAAGATTCTCGCGGTGGCGGTGTACAACCACTACAAGCGACTGAAGCATCTCGACAAGAAAAATGACGTCGAGTTGTCCAAAAGCAACATCCTTCTGATCGGCCCGACCGGCTCCGGCAAGACGCTGCTCGCGCAAACGCTCGCGCGGCTGCTGAACGTGCCGTTCGTGATTGCCGATGCGACCACGCTGACCGAAGCGGGCTATGTCGGCGAGGACGTCGAGAACATTATTCAGAAGCTGTTGCAGAATTGTAACTACGAGGTCGAGAAGGCGCAGCGCGGCATTGTCTACATCGACGAGATCGA